TTTTTTTTTTTTTTTTTTGGGGGGGGGGGGGGGAAAAAAACAATGAAATTTGCCTTTCTTTTTTTAATCTGACACTTTCTTTTTTGCTTCTTTTTGTGCCAAATTTTGATGTTCGAAAAAACAAAAAAGAAAAGTTAAAAGAAGATGAAACTTCTGCTTTTTTTTTCTCCTATTATTACATTCTGTTAACTTACTGAAAGCTGTTTTTTTTTTTCTCCCGATTACTGCAATTAAATAGTTTCTATTCATTTTACACTGTTACTTATATTTACTTCAACAATAACAAAAAAAAAAAAAATTAGAACAAATGGACAATAAATAATGGTTAAACTCAGATATTCATTTTTTTTTTCTTCAACTTTTTCTTGGGGCCGATAGAACAATATGGAAATAATTTTTTTTTACACTTAAATAAACTTATAATAAAATAGGTTATTTGTATTGATTATTATATACAAAAAAAAAAAACAAAGAAACAGGACAAATAAGGAAATAAATGATAAAATATTGAAATATTTATACAAAAGAACAAACTATAGATGAAACTAATCACTGAGAAGAAAGAAATGCAAGAAATCAGAAAACAATAGATACAGTTTTTTCAGTTTTTTTTTTTTTTTTTTTCTTTCAGACGAGTCGTTTTGTGAAGGATACAAAACGACGTAAACCGTCTCGAAATTTTGATTTCTTCCTTTCCTTATGTGTAGCCTCTGGATTACTAGATAAAAATTTGCCTTTTAAAGCAACTAAAATTGCTGCATCGAACACCTGTTTTAAGTTATACTGTGTTAACGCTGAACATTCCACATATTCCGTACGTAATTCATCGGCAAACATTCGAGCCTTTAGCTCACTGATCGGTTGTTCACCATTTTTACACAGATCAATCACCAAACTGACATTGGAACGTAAATCACACTGTGTACCGACCAAAATTACTGCAAAATAATCAAATTTCTTCTTGTTTAATTCATTCACAACATAACTGTACCTTTAAAATCACATGTTTATTAAAATTTTTTTTTCTTTTCTCCCCCCCCCCCCCCACCCCGAAAAAAAAAAGGATTGATTACAAGACGAAAAAAGGGTGAAGAAGCAGTAACAGTTCTGATATGTTTAAAAAAAAAATAGATCAATGTATAAGCGATAAAATTTCTCAAACTGACATCACCAAACATCTTTCCCACTTTTCTTTTACTTTATTATTTTATAAAAATTAAAAAAAAAAACAAAGTAAACAACTTTTTGCTAAAAAAAACGGATACTATTTGACAAACTAATAATGAATTTATTCGAATAATTCTTCGACAACTATTATCAGTGACTAAAAAATGAGAAAAAAACAACCAAAATTTTACTGAACAATCAACTTACTCCATTGATTATTATATTCACCAGTTTCTTAATGCTATTGAATTGTTAGCACAAAAAAACTAAGTTGCTTTAACACCAACAAAAAAAGGAAAAGAGAAGTACACTGACATCAATCAGTATTCTCAATTACATCTTCAAAACTCTAATCTATTCCAACAGTTTCTTTTCTTTTTGTCATTTTATCATTCACCCGTCTACTAATATTGCCCATATTTAGGATGAACATTAGACAGCTTTATACCATATTATATTGTATTAATCATACAGATTCCAAATGTTGAGAAGAAAAAAAAAAAAAGAAACACTAAAAACATTGTTCAATTTCTTACTTGGTGTATGTGGGGCAGATTTGGAAATTTCTGGTAACCAATGACTGGTAATTGATCGTAGGGTACTCGGTAACATCACATTGAAACATAACAGAAAAACATCTGTTTCTGGATAACTGAATGGCCTTAATGAATCAAATTCTGCCTAAACAGTATCAGGTGTAAAAGTTTACTTTATTAGTATAGTTTATACAAAAAAAAATACAAGTTTTTAAAATTATACATTTATAAATTATTCTACTTTACTATTTATACTTAGTTTTTTTTACTATCTCAAAATTAGCTGTAATTTTATTGCATAAAATGTTCATCAAAAATAGTTTTAACCATTAAACTCAATTTGCTGTAAATTACAAAATTGCAAAAAAAAAAAAATGGAATTTTTGTTACAATAAAA